ACGCTGGAAAAGAGCGTCTGCTGTGCCATGGCCCTGCAGCACATTCGCCGCAGTAGACCCCAGCTGTCAAACTTTGCGGGGACGTCCCGTCTTGCAGCATGCAAAAGTCAGCGGCCAAAGCAGAAGGATCCCCAACAAGGGGGGAGGCAGGCAGACTGGAGTTGAGTCGCTCGAGGCGTAGCCAAAAAAGTGTGTTGCCACCCGGGCAAAAAACCAGACCATTCAGGTAGAAGAGCTCGTAAGTCTGCTGCCAAGATGTACAAAAACGTAGGAGCAAACTCCGTCAGTTCTCCACTTGCATCTACAGGGGCTGCAGGCTGAAAGGTCAACTGCCCAAACAGAGTTGCCAGGTCAAGGCGCACCTCGCCAGCTTGCTCAGCTAGCAAGGCAGCGCGGAGCCATAGAAGCCGGCGGACGCGAAGTTCAGAAGCAATGTCAGCCAACAAAGACTGCTGCCGCAGCGCTGAAAGAGGGACTGAGCGAGGAGCATCGTCAGCGCCAACTGCACCAAAGCCTCTTCTGCCAAAGCACCGTCGTAGTAGCACTCCCCGGGCAGCTTCAAGTCTCTGGACGTCTGCGCTTGTTAAGCTTCGGACTTCGAGCGCTGAGAGCAGCGCTTCGTTCACGACTGATCTGAACATCATATTTTTGTGGTTTTGGGGGATTTTGGAATTCTTGAAAAAAGCTGAAAACTTTGCAAAGCAAGTTCTAGCAGCTGCGATGCGCTTGGACACCTCAGCCCGTAGAGAAAGGTTCGACTGCAGATGAGCTCCCAAGTACTTCACCACACGCTTCAACGGAGGGCCGCTCCAATCGCCAGAAAAAACTCTTTTGGCTGCTGAGTACGATCCCTTGCCACGGACCGCTAGGAGACACTCACTTTTTGACAAGTTGAGTTTCAAACGGTGCGGTCGCAATGCCCTTTCCAACGCAGCAGTGTGTTCTACCGCACATTGCTCCACTTGCCCAGCCTGCTGCGCAGCTTCAACCCTTGCCAAATCGTCAGCGTAAGCGGCCACAGCGACATTGTGCACTGAACCATTGTAGCCAACTTGAGTAAAGCAATTCGGCACAGGCGTGCTAGCATGCCAGTCCTGCACAATGTTGTCATATACTCGTCTGAACAGTCGTGGTCCTGTTCCACCTCCTTGCAAAACTCCAGCGCCCAAGTCAACTAGTAGTGATGTGTCACCAGCGATGGGCATGCGAATCTGCAGACGTTGTTGCAGATCAACAAGTAGAGCTTTGAACGTCGCATGGAGTGAAGGGTCCTCTTGTATATTGCAGACAACACTGTGGGCACTGATCATGTCAAAGGCCTTTGTCAGGTCATAGAGGCTGGTCGCAGTACACAAATGCGCTTGTTGAAGCCGATCCAGCAAAGCACTGATTTTGAGAATAGCATCCCTCCGTGAGCGTTTGGCCGAGTAGCCGTACTGATGAGCCTTCGGTGGGTCGGGGTGCAAATCCAGGGCTGCTTTGTAAAAGACTTTGCCAAGAGGATCCAAAAGGTTGATGACCCTGTGACCGTTGGGGCTCACTCGCGCGCACGCGTGATCTCAGCCCTTGCTCCGGCATTTTGTCCGGTGGCAGAAGCAACTTCGATGGCTCCTTCAGAGCTTTCTTTGTTTCCTCCTTGAGGAAGGCCTCTATTGGCTGAATCCCAGCTTGTCCTGGCCGCGTCACCGCCAGGCTTGGGAATAGGACATCCATGCCCCACGCACCATTCAGAAAAATTGACTCCCATACTTTGTAAAAGTTCAAAGAGCGGCATCAACTGCTTGCCTGGCTGCAAGTGTTCTCTTCCTTGTAAGAGCAAACACCAGACCTCGACAGGTAAAGCTCCGCGAGGAGTTGCCCGTGCTTTTTGAAGTCTCCCAGCCGCGGTAGCCAAAGCTTGCTGCCCAAACTCACCTTGAAACAAAGAAGGGAAAGAACCAGGCAAGCAGGAATTGTCCAGACAGGCTGGGTGCGCAGCAGAAGACGAACACTCACTAGCCCGTTGCACTGCTTGGAAATGCTGGAGCCAATCTTGTTTGGTGATTGGCTGTGCTTTGGGAGGCTGCCGCGGGCGCTTGTACAGGCGCCCGGCAAGTTGACGGCTGATACTCCAAGCTTCTCGTGAGTCATGTGCTTGGTGAGCTTGCTGCAACTTCTGGACCAAATTTGTTTTCCATGCCTGCACATCATTCTTCACTGCACGTCGTGCAGATTCTTGACGGGCATTCAACCTCAGCGCAAGAAAAACCAACTGGAGCTGCCAGCGTTCCTGGCATCGTAGAGGTGCTTCATGTTTGCGCGCCACCGACTGCAAGAAAAGATGCATAGCCTCTCGGCGTCTTTCCAGCAAGTCAAAGGTCTGCGGAAGTAATCTGGAATCTGTCTGAGTGTCCGGCATACCAAAATGCCGCTGCGCAACTTCAAACAATGTCTTGGAGCAAGTAGTCCATCTTGTTTGGAGATTATCCCACGGCAAGTTGCCAAGGTCTGTCAAGGCTTGGCACACCTCGGTCAGAAAGGGAACAAACAGGCTGGGGTCTTCTCCTGCCCCAAGCACAGCATGCTGATTCCAGCGGAAGGGAGCTCGTCTTTGCGGTTGCTGCGGCCAACGTGAAAAAAGCTGAACATGAACTTCAACAGGGAAGTGGTCAGGAACAGCAGACATCTGCCATCGCCTGCCAAGCACTTTGTTGACTCTGCAACGCTTCACTCGCCCCAGATAGTGGTCAAGAACTGCTACGTAGTCGAGGCGGTGGGATGCGCGTCCGTCCGGCGACCACCACGCGCGACCTGCTGGATGGAAGGCGTTGACTAGAGCAAGGCGTTGCGCAACACAAACTTGGCTGAGTGAGTGGCCATTGTCATTGCTTTGCTCTGGCTGCGACCGGGCGACAGCTCGTGACCACAGTTCTTGTCCAATATGTGCATTGAAATCTCCTAGGAGCCAGATGCTTGTACGACGAGGCTGTATGCTGATGGTCTGCTGCAGTTGTGTGAAAAAATGCTGCTTCTCTTCCTCAGGTGAACTTTCTTGAGGAGCATAGGCCACCAAAAACATGTGGTCATGAGGTTGGGCGCTCTTCCTGTTGACTACTCGCACCCCGCCTATCCTGCCAGTGTTGCAAGCCTGATCAGGGTCAAACCGCTCTCGGATATGTTCTGTCGCAAAAAAACTGCAGCTTAGAAGCAAAAGAACACCTGTCTGCACAACCCGAGCGGACCGGCTCCAGGAAAAGCAGTGAAAAAGAGGTTCTCCGGTTCGGCTCTTGACTGTCCACTCACTTCGTTGTTGGTCATGTTTCCAGCAGGTGCCTTGCAGGGCTGCCACTTGAACGCCTTTGGCGTGCAAGTCTTCTGAGATTTCAACCAGACGAGCGTTGCTGTGGCCAAGGCTCTTGCAGTTGAAGCTAACAAGCTTCAAAAGGTTCTGTGTTGGCGGAGCTGCTCGGCCATCAAGCCGAGGAAGGTGCACTTGGTGATCATTCCTGCGATGGTTGAGCAAAGGGTCTTGCTGGTACCACCACTTTCGCCTGCTGCCGAGAACTGCACGTACACTTGCCACTGTTTCCTTTGGAAAAAAAGCAGCCAGACGCGACTCGTGCTGTATCAATTGACCTCGGTATCGAACCCATCCCCAGAGAAAAAAATGTCGAAGAGCTCTCACAATTGATCTTTTGCGTGCAGGGCCTGTGCGAAGGTTGCCACTTAATGGATCTGGTGGATGCATTACAGGTCTGAGTGGGACTCGCACACCCCACTCACCCTCGCTCCAACCTGCAGTCAAATCATGAGTTTCATGTCTTGGTCCCCGGAATTGGGACCGGGGCTCTTCCTGATCATTGGGCGATTTGATCCGAGAGGAGCTTAGGTTTTCGTTGACATGTACAAACGATGTTGATGTATTGGTTGACCAGCACGAACGATGTTGATGTTTTGGTTGACTTTTTTATGTTTGGGACTACCTTCGTGTGATTACACCAGTTTCACCAGTCGTTCGGAGTTTTTGGGTTCAAGCATGCGCAGGTTGAGTTTGCGTGGTTTACTTTCGTTGTGTTAGGTGTTTTAATTCGCTTGTCGGATTTGATTCTTTTTTTTCTTGGCCCGGTCGTTTGTATGGTTTCTTTGTTTGTGACCCCCGCTACTTGGACAACTTGTTGGATCTAGGCACTCGCTGGTGAACTGACGTTTGGGTCGCTTTGTCTTTGCGCATAGCACTAGATTCACATCGGTTTTTGGACTTCGAGTGTTTAGAAGAGTTCAGACTTGTTGAAAGATTGTTGGGATCACATTTGGCTACGTTATCACAAGGTTTCGATTCCACCATCAATCACGGCAGCATTGAGGAAGCTTCCGAAACATTGTGCCTTATGCACGGACGGTGCAAAAAGCTACTAATGTTTTTGTAAGCTAGACATGTCCAAGAAAAAAAATGGAAGCACAAGCTTGTCAATCACAAGAAGCAGCAGCTCACCAAAAAGGTGAAGGGTAAGAAGCGGTTGGCTGGCATGAATGTTGGATAGAATGTGGTCCTTTGCGAAGAAGTTCCAGCCTTCTTTTACAAAGAAGCTGACCGCTGCAACCGCTTTTTTGGCGCTATGCGTACGCATGGCAGTGGCACAGAAATGTGCGTGTCCGGAGCCCGGACAGGCCTAAGATGATGGCGGAAGTCCTGTGGCGACGTTGACATTTGCGCGGATGTCAGCTCCGAAAAAGCAGGGGTCGCGTAAACGCACAAAAAACTTGATTCTCGCTGTGGCGAGATACACAAATCAAGACCGGATTGCTGTAAATTTCAATCAGAATAAGGGTCTGCAAATCCATGGAAAAATTCAAAACACTGCGAGGTTAACAAATCTCATGTACAGGGTCAAAAAGCATGAGCCACCCTTGCACGGGCGGCAAGAGAGCCGTGAACCTTGTTCTTCCATTAGAGCTGCCTTCTCTCGTATTGTGTTTTTACTTTCATTCAGATAAAGATACCCAACGTGCTACGGAGGCTCATATAGTCTGCTGCTTTCTGCAAATAGCCAATGTCAGGCGTGTGCTCTGAATTTCTGATCTCAACAGCTCGCCGCTTTGTGTTCATCCTGACCTTGGTGAAATCACAAAACGGTTCTTGTGGTGCCCGTGGTGGAGGATCTAAGAGGTGCGGAATGGCCATCTGAATGTCAGCCACTTGAGAAACACCCCTTTGAAATGCCTCTCCTCTGTAATTCAATAGTGTTGACACGTCGTGTTTTTTGAGACGTGTTGAGCGTTTTATATTTCCCCGGCCTGAAGTTTCATGTGCTCCACAATGGGATCAATAAGTTGGACCCAGGCGGCCTTGAGCGGCGTCATCCTGCCAAAAAACAATTTCCAGCCGATTGTAAGACAGTAACATGCTACCATGTTGAATAAAAAATGCAACTGGCTGTCTGGGGCAGGGGCTCACTCAGAAAAACCATGTCGCAAGCAAATTTGAGTGTTCTCCCTCTTGTCTGACAATGCTGGGCAGGCGTCACTACAGGAGTGAGGGATCCAAAACAAGAGGCCCAGAACTGCGTTAAATAAATAGAGCAAAACAAGGGTGGATGAGCAAACTTCCACATTGAAGAGCACACACATCCTGCCGGGCTGACAACTGCGCCTGCGTGTTTGCGGTTTTTTAATGTCGTCAATCTTGAACTGGTGGGTTCAAAAAGGTCTGAAAACCTGCGTTTCGGAACATTTGACTTCAACTTCCAAAAAAACGAACCTTGCGCGGCTCATTTACAATGTGTTTCACTCAAACGCGCTTCGCTGCAGCGAAATTTGCATTTTCATCCAAGTTCATGTTTGAAGGATGCAAGGGCCTTTTGCTATTGTGCTACAGGGAAACGAGAGCTTGAAAATCTCTAGTCAAGCATAGTTGTCGGACATTTTTTGGTCAGCGTCCAACGATGTTTGAAACGGCGTGTCCTGTACAAAGCATCAAATCTTTGCCTGTTTTCCCACCTCCAACTGTACCTTTGCAAACACTTGAAGATTTGCGGATTGACCTCACCATTGGACGTTAACGTGTGCATGGAGGTGGCAATTGCCATCTTTGCACAAGCCCGAAACCCATCTATGGAACGAGTGTTCACATCCAGCGACGGGACTCGTCTCCAACAAGTGTTCAAACTTAGTCCACCACAAAAGAGACAGTAGAGGTAAGTGTTGATCTAGAAGATCTACGTGTGAAACTGTGAAACCTCAACATCTTTGAAGAAAGAAAAACAAAGTAACAAAATGTGCTCCGACGCATGGAAACTTGAGTCCATTTAAATTTCCAGTCTCCCTGGCTCAGGTACGCAATATGGCCTTTTCAAGACTTTATGGTTTCTTCTTGTTTTGAGCTGTTTACATATTGATTCTCATTTGGCTCAATGCCCAATTACAGCATGCACTCCGATAACATACAGCAGATGAGGTCACTTGCCGTTCGCTTGAACTCACAGCCACACACTAGTGTTTAGTCCAGGTTGGTAGCACACCTGCCACATCTGGGAGATCTCATCCCTCACCCTCCTCCTTCCCCTCTTTCCGTGCTTCCCTCCTTCCCTCCCTCTCTCTCTCCCTCCCTCCTTTTGTCCGTCCGCCCGTCCGCCCGTCCGTCCTTCCGTCCTTCTGTTCTTTCTGTCCTTCTTCCTTCCTTTTATAATGACTCCGTTTTGTTATTTTTTCCTTGTTTTGCTTTTTCTTGATCCGTCTCCCTCACTACAGCTCCTGTGCGGAGGTACTGGAACGCGACGCATCTGCTTTTTTACGCCCTGCTGCTTCCTTGGCCAAAGAAAGAACTACCAATCGAACGATGGCTTTACAATTGCACGCATAGTTTCCACAATCAATCATTGAGGTGCAGCGTGACCAACGTGAAAATAATGCCGCGAGACGGTGTGAGAGCAGGAAACTGCGGCTTGCTGTACGGCATGTCTCCGTCTCCCTCCTCCTTCTCATCCACAGCTTCGATCACCACATCCTCAACTTCGGCTGGCTGAAAGACAATGCCATCAGAGGCCTCACCTTAGGAGGCGGAAAAGCACGGCCTTGAACCAGTGAAATCTACTTGGTGTTCCAAGAAATCGAGGGAAGTCCCAACCAAACAACCAATATTGGTTCACCAAATCAAAGTCAAATCATTGAACTATATTATGCGACTTGTGTGAAGCAATTTGTGGTGAGACAAATGACAACAGGAATACTTCATGAGCACCTGGCATGTCAATGATTATTCTTCGATTCAACGATGCAACCCCGCAATGTCATGTTGTGCTTGAGCGCCTTTTCGCCGGATGGGCCCATAACCCCCTTCGGGAGGTTTGTCGAGGTCATCATCCATGGGAACAGGAGTCTCGATCGCTTTTCCTCAGACATTTGCCGGGTCAGCAAGGCTTCTCTGGTGCTGGCAGCAAAGGAAAGCCTGTATTGGTCTTCGACGTGCCCCGCAGGCGACACTCCCCTCAAACATACTCCAAACAATCGAAGCACAAGTCCCAGGATAACAATGTTTCCAGACCGTTTGTAACATCTGAAATACAACACTACTGCACTGCCACCAGGGTTCTGACAATAGCATCCATGGCAAAGGCTCCGCTGGCCGATCCACGTTCAACCCTGCGATCTGAAGAACTTATTTCCGCTTGAGCTGAATGCTGGCAGTCAAAGAGCAGAATTTCCTTTGAAGGATCTTCATCATAAAAGCAGGTTAAAGTATCCACCAAATTGATGGCAAAACATCCTCGCCTTTATGTAAGCTAAAGCACTCCGAACAAATGTTACATTGACAATCAGAGTCTCATCCCGTGCAATCAATACTCACCCTTGTGCTTATTAGGGAGAGAGAGAGAGAGGCTGCCTATGTGTTTCGCGCCTGGGTGTGCCACCGGCATGCTCGTGTTGCAACATGAGATTGTAGGTTTGTCCTGCGATAATGCAGAATGTATTATCAGCTAGATACTGTACATGCCTAAAAGATCCTAAAAGACTTTTAGTAGTCAGATTGTTTTCCACCAGTCCATCTTGATCCATTTTGTCCGTGTATCCCTGTGCATATCCGTCATGCATATTCATGTATTGATTGGTGAGTGCGCTTGTGCTGACTGACTATGATCGGTCCAGGAAGGAATCAGGTTGCAACATCTGTCCTCATCGCATTCCCACGCAGAGTGCGCGACATCCATCGTATCACGATGCAGCTTGTCAGTGCTTTCACCGTGGTCAGTGTCAAGTGCATTTCAATTGAGCTCGTGCACGAGGTAACAACGATATAGCAGCCTGCTTTCCATCAAGATTGTTGAGTTGTAATTAGGTAACTTGCACGATATAGCAGCTACTCACTGTGGCCAATATTGGTGAAGTCAACAACCCCGAACTGCTTGCATCAATGGCCAGCTGCAAGTGGTTGCTATCTTATGCACTACGATGAGTGAACCTGTGTTCATTCTTGAGCCAAAGAAGTGCAGTCCAATGTTCTGGATAAGCCCTTCCTGGTTGGTGCCCAAAGCAAGGTCAGTATTGTATTGTCGATATAGTGCAATATGGATGTTTCTTGTTGTCAAAGTGATTTTTATTGGGATGTGCAGTGCACTCAGCCACTACTGTGGGTAGGCTACAGGTCAATCTTGTCCCTGAATAAGGCTTTGCTCATTTCGCTCCAAACAAAGAAGGTAAGGGCTCCACTATAGCTACCTTTTGGCATCTCTTTATTTATGTCTCGTTGATTGTCCGTGCTGAAAGTATGCATCCCTTTGTATGAAGACTCGCGTCCGGAGATGGCCAAGTGAAATTGCTCTTGTGCGCGACTGAAAGTCTCCCAAAGAAGACAACTGTTACATCCTCTCTGTGGCTTTGGCAGTGTCCATCATTTGATTGAAAAGGCAGAAGACCAAAACCACACATTTGGAAGCAAATGCCGAAGGTTGGATCCTGCACACTCTGTTTTGGAGGTGGTGTTTCACAACTGAAACAAGTTGCATCGATGTGAAAGCAAACAATGAAAAGCGCTAAGGCTTAGCCGCTAAGGGAATGGCTTGCCTGATGCGGCTCTTTGACTCTCGGCTGGCTCCATCGCTCGCAGATAAGACCTGTCGCTTGTGTGTCACGTGCAATGCCCTTTGCTCCTAGTAGCGTCCTTGTTCCTAGTAGTGAGGCCAGGAGCCCCTAGTAGCGTTCTTGTTACTACTAGTAAGGCACTTGTTACTAGAAACGATGCACTTGTTACTAGTAGCGTCCTTGTTCCTAGTAAGGCCAGGAGATGTCACGAACCAAAGAGATGTTGTCTTTCCTTTTTATCTTCGGCCGCAGGGAGGTAGGCCGGAGCAGGCTCAAGCAAGTTAACAAGTAAGGCCAGTAAGGCATAGTTACTAAGCTTAAGGTACTCCCTAGGACGCAGAATAGTTCAAACATTAGTATATAATGATTTGGTTCCTAGATTTGGGGGGAAACCTAATGTTGCTTTTCCTTCAGGCCTTCTCGAAGGCCTGTCTCCAAAAGAGAGAAGCGCCTCATTTTGCCACCGCACCGCCGTCCACAGTCAAGTGTGCGTCAATGCAATGGTTCCCAATTTCGTTGTTGAACATGTATATAAGGAAAAAAAACTGAAAAAAAAGAAGCATCCATCTCCATCACCCCGACACCAAGGGAGAACTGTACCCCTCAGCTGATAACACACCAATGCCAACAAATCACTGGGTCTGCTATGACAGCCCACATCTTCAAATCAAACTCATGTTGATCAGGTACCACCTTGGGTTCTAACCTTGCAGGTTAAAAAACAAACAGAAATAATGCTCAACTAATATCCGATGGAGCTTGTTCGTTTCTCTTGCATGTCATTCGGGTGTTTGGGAATGCCAGCATTTGGCTGACCCACATTCCTGACGTTGGAGGAGTTCCCTCTTTGAAAGAGCGATGTTAAAGGGGCACCACCGCTTTCCGGTCTACACAGCAGTCTTGGCAAGAAACATGAGCCTGCCTCTGCCCCCTCCTATCAACAAAAGCATCCTCTTTTTGGTGGACAGCACAATTTTTGACAACAGCTCTTTTTTGAACCTCTTCCATTCCAACCAGATAAACTCCAACCTGTGCTGCAAATCAGAAAGGACACAAAGAAGAACGAATCCTTGGTCAACCTACTGTAATTAAGTTGTTTGCTGATTGTTCATTGTACCACTTAGCAGCATACAGTACCCTCCTCTCCATTTCTCCGTTTTGCCATATCACACAGCTAAACGCAAGCTTGAGGAAGAGACTGCCCATAGCAGTCTCAGTCTCAGAACGCATGGCTGCACTGACAGCCTGAGCTCGCAGGATCAACAACTTCCAAGGTGACTTTACATTCGAAGCGAACTGCCGCCTGAAAGTCAGTGTGGTGGAGCATTTGCACCAGATTTGCCACAGAGTTGTATTGCCTTTGAAGTGTTGGGAACAAGTGATTGCTTTGGCTGAGATGCTGTAGAGAGCTTGTTAAGCTTGAAGAGCACTGAGTCAAGCATTCAACATGTACCAATGTTTATTCATGGTAGTCCATGATCCTTGCCACCGGTTTTCGCGGAGACTTCCTCAAGAAGCACAGCTTGCGAATTTGGCGAGACCTTCTGTCCGCCTGGAGTCTAAAACAAGCGGCAAGTTGAAACCTGCAGCACTTGTTCTCAAGCAAAACTCTTTGACCGAATGAAGAAATTGAAGATACGTGAATTTCACATAGCGCAACAAATCACCGTAGAGTCTCAGACGTATCAAAAAGGAACAACAAAAATCAATGTCCTTCCTCCATGTCTCACTGCAAGTCTCAGAACCAGAAAAGCTATCCAGATGTTGAGAAGGCCTCTCTTTGAGAATGCTTCTCGGGATCTGCACAGGAATCATGCAAGTGGTCAAAGGCCTTGACCAGTACCTGACTGACTGATCAAGGCAGTACCCTTTCCCTTGTCTTTACAGCATGCATCAAGATGAAGACCAAAAGAGGGGTGAGCTGTATGAAGCTATGGCCCAAGCCAAGCACTGCAGGATCAGGACGGTCGCAGACCTAATGCAAACTCTAGCTTCCTGGAGTCAATTGAGCACAGTACGCGGCATTACACGGTACCGCTCAATACACCCAGCAGGTCCTGCCCCCCGAGCCTTCACCGCTTCCATGTCGTTTGCTGGCCAATTGTCCGCCATGAAGTCCTGCCAAAACATTGAGACTGTCTGAAGGACAAAATCGAGACAAGGCTGCTTGCCAGGCTGCCTCCATTTCATGAACGCAAAAGAAGTAGTTATTGCCTTACTCTTGGCCAGGAGAGATACACACATTGCAGATGTTGCAATTGCAATAGAGTCCAATATAGAATCATGTCAAGGAAGCATGTTGTAATGATCTGTGCGGATGTGGCACAAGTCGAGTCGGTCACAACGATGATATTGCGCTCGAAGTTTGTTGGGTATCCCCAGAAGCACTTTGAAGGATACAGGCACATCCTCAGCGGCTGGACGTTGCTGGCCAGGGTTGGAGGTGCGAGTCTAGAATCAAAATGGCTGTGGCTACTCTGTGACTCTTTGTCTTGATGCAAGAGACCTGCTCACTAGAAGTGTGGCCTTCTAGAGTGACTAGAATGTCATTGCGAACCTAGCAAACTAACCGCAGTGGCATCCCATTTGTACATCGTTGCTGCGTCTGCCCACTTGTTTGTGCCTTTAGGGTGGGCACGATGAGAAAAGTTTGGTCAAAAGGGCGTCAGCTTGCAGCTCCCTTTAAGGAAGACATCTGAGTAACTAAGGTCCGTTCCGACTTTGTCTGTCGCAGCATGTGCGACGTCGGATGATGCGGATCTCAACCAAAGATTCGATGGGGACAACTCGTGTCCTGCAAATGTCAATGGGGCAAGAAGGCATCATATTTAAAAGCTTCTTTCTGCGACAAACCTGCAAACGCTCCTGCAACAAAAAACGATAAGGAGCTTGTCATTCTCTCGTATCTCGCCAAGCGCAAGGACGAGTTCTCACTTCCACTATCTTGCGGCCAGAGTTTCAAGCTTTGGCGCTGAGTTCGCGACAATCTTGCGTGGCACTTGCATCAGAATGATGAAAATGCAAATGAAGCACTGGCGGGAGCACTGACAAAAAAAGAGTAAAATTGTTGGGATCCTTTTTGGAATACTTAGTGGTTGTAGAAAGGTCTTCTTTTTTTCTTGATTCTTGTGCTAATATGGCCGGCAGATGTCCCGCTTGCAACTACCGTCATTTTGGTATCTGTCTTCCAAATTGAGCACAGCAAACTGACAACCTATGAGGTATCCTTTCACTTTTGCGTCAGTGGAGTTTCCTTTCGCGAGATCTGTTTCGTTCTTAGAAGCAGCAAACTTCTGCATCCAAGTGACATAGGCCACATCAAATAAAAGCAGGTTCTCAAACGAAATGCCTGCCAGCTTGGAAGGCAATGCAAATAAATGAGGAAAACACACCATCAACAAATGCTTTCAAATATATACCCAGATTAGAGCTATATAGATCAAGATACATCACCAGCTCCAAGGTGTGGCTCTGAAATGTAATTTGACTAAGCCACACAAATTGGGAACAAAGGGAGGGGTAGACCAACGAGATTGAAACAAATTGAAACCAACTCTATCAGACAGAATTAGGACCGCTGAGCAAACACCTCGAACCCACCAAACAAGTTCATTTGGCTGTGGGTCAAGATCCGGGCGGGGCTTTACTCCCTGCTAGCTTGACCAAGTAGTCGATTCTGTTCATTTTCGGTGATCAACCAAGTTCCCCATTTTGATCCACAGCCATTTTGCCGACCCTGCCTAGGTCTGACGATCCGTTCCTGGTCAGCCGCTTCTTTCAAGCAGCTATGCTGTGGTCGTGGTGCAAATTATCCTACTCTTTGCACTCCATCTGTTCTTAGCGAGATGTATACATTGTATCAGAGATCAAACTCATGCATGGCAGTACAAGCATGTTCATTTTGTTAAAGGCCCTTTAGTTGTGTGCTATAGGCTATGGTGGTGTACCTTTGCCAAATTCGTTCAATAACAGGCATTCCAAAACATATTCATGCATGTACAATATGCATTAGTTAGACTGTCGGTGCCATTCCCAGCACTATCTTTTTGGCATCAACTCCTTGAATTCCAATGTTGGTGGTAACTTCTGTATTGGGAGTTGCATGTAAACAAAAAAATGCTATGGACAAGGCCCGGACAAGCACCGGACGAGGGCGCAGGTTTTGCCAACGCGGCCAGAGAACAGCAGGAGGACAAGAACAACAGGACAACACCCGGACACAGGGTTCAAAGGCGAGTCCAAATACTGAGACTGTGCCCAATGTCTTTTCCTGAGAGATAACCCCAACAGTAAACTGTTTGGGGAAGAAAATTGGAATGCAACTGGTTTTTCCAAAAACCTCTGTCGGATATCTTGGAGACAGACCATGACCCCACCTAAGAACCAAACACGCTTCGAATATGTAAACAAGTCTGCAATAAACCTACTATATATAATCCAGCAATCATGATACTGTATTGCAATCTTAGTCCAAGGTAGGGGGTTAGTATGGCACCGATTCTTGCACAGAGTCTGCTTGAATCCAACTGTAGGTTGAAAGGGATAGGCAGTAGGAATGTGCCCAATCGTCTTAAAGTCGCACCTGGCTTTGGTCAAGTAGAAATCAAGCCGGATACATATTAACGCCCTTGACATGCAGGAATGTGCCTGGCTCAGGTATTTGCATGTTTGCCAGATTTTGCAACATATTTTTTGGCAGCAAGAAGCTACTAGCAACAAGGGCATCGCATTGTTAGTTTCCCTTAAAATCTAGGTCAAATCATTAGTTTCCTTGAAGAAGCGCGAGCTATCCTGCGTCCTGTCAGCAATAGGGTTCTTGTAGCTACTAGCTACCTAGCTCCTACTAGCTACCTCTAGATACTAGCTACTTCCTACCTCTACTAGCGGCCTACCTCCCCCAAAAAAGAAATAAAGAAAGAAAGGGTCGTGGTGCATCGAACTGGTGCGTGAAAAATGGTCGAACTGTGGAAGTTGCGACAGACTTTTGATATGTTTCACTTGATCAACTCAGACCTCAGGGGCGATGCCCCGACAAACGCCTTCAATCAAAGCTGCATGTGCTACTCTGACCTCAGCCAACGCGACCAGCCTTGGAGCGTCGACATCACCTCAGGACTGCGGCGGATGTCAGTGTCTTCACGCCATGTGGGCAGCGCATGTCGGGCACCCTCTTCGATTGCGCAATGGGCTTGGAACTTGTGCGTTGTGGTTCGTGCAAGAGGTCATCTCATTGTGCGATGTTTGAAGATTTTTCCTCCAATGTCGAGGCAAGTGTAGCAGCTGTGTCAAACAGCATGCACGCACAGTGAGTTAATTCGACGGGGTGTGTTGTGCAGAAGTTGGACTCCTTGACCTGGGAAGAGTATTTCTAATTTTATGTATGTCTCACTATGTGGCCGCAGGCGACGCCCAACCAGCTTCTGACCGCAGAGTCCGCCTTCATAAGTTTGCTTTGGGTTGACTGCTAGGAAAGCCGACTGCTTTGCCCAGCTGTTTCACATGGCTCAGCACAGTTTCTAAATCAAGTCGTTTTAATCAGAGGCAAGTCATGGCAAGCCTGACCTTCCGGCCTGCGACGTGACCAAACTCAACTTTCGGCCTGGCCTGCCACTTTCCGCAGCAACGACGCTTCATCGTACTGTGCTGACCAAAAGCGAACTTGCAAAGTGGAACTGTCGACGTTTCAATCAAGTTTCTCCGGGGCATAGTATAAAATGATGGTGTAGGCAAACCTCAGGCGACCACTAGGTGACTCAGCAAAAGCATTCGCGTCCACACCAAGATCAATCTATCGTCAACGGCGAAAAAAAACACAACATTCGAGTTTCCGAATGAGTTTTGCGTGCCTCTTTTCCATGTATGAATTGAGGGCAAACTAATTCTGATGTGCTGCACAAGCGTCACAAAAACTGTCAAGAATATAAGGTAGGCAACGAAGCCTGGACATGAGAACCAGCAAAGCAAACAAATGAGGCAAAGCAGGAACAAGTGGCAATTGTGGACAAAAGAAGTGGTAACAACAAAACTTGAGTTTTATATAATGCTGTCTGAATTCTTGCGCTGCCTCCACTTACGCGAATATGATACGTCTTCCTGAGGCTCTGTGTCATGACACCAACTGCAAGACATTAAAAAAATGTTGTGTATGGTATGTACACTATAACATGCATATTATGCATATATCGCAAATATGTATGTGTATATATATATATATACCTTATATCCGCCGACCCCTTGCGACTGCAAGGGAGCGCGTGAGAGAAGGTACGAGTGCTCATGGTGTGGAGGGTTCGAGCATGGTCTTGCTTTGTGGGGGCGCACGGAGCGGCCCCGGAGATGGCGCCCCAGACAGCGGAATCCGAAAGCGGCGTTAGACATCTGGGCCCGCACTGGGAGGACAATTTTTGGACGATTTTTGGTCTTGAATTAGATGGTACATTGCCGGAAGCCTTGGAGGGAGGGTACGAGCATGGTGTTGAGGGTATGAACTGTTTTTGGATGAGTTTTGGTCTGGAAGTAGGGCTTGCTGGAGGCTGCATCCCGACCTTTTTTGAGCGATGTTTTGAGCGATATTAGATATCCAGATACGGCTCGACGCCGCAGACATTCCTAGAGGTCCGAAAGCGAAAGAAAGGGCTTGCTCGAGGCTGCTTCAAAAACTTGTTTCACGGGATCCGAACGCGACGTTAGAGACTCTGGGCCCGCAGTGGGAGGAGAATTTTTGGAGGGAGGGTACGAGCATGGTGTGGAGGGTACGAAGTGTCGGGAGTGTCGGGAGTCTTGGGAGGGGGTTTCTGGAGCTGTGTATGTAGGGCGTCGAGAGAGACAGAGGACAGTAGGTTGCTCAGACGTTCCAGGAGGCGCAGGGGCAAGGCTTGCCATTGGGTTGAGTGTGTTGTATTCGGACTCGCCCCGTCGTTTTAGACGAGAACACAACCATCGCACAGGTGGGACAGGTGTGGGCGCGCGCGCCCGCAAACGACGCCCTGCACAACCCGGAATTGGTTGCCGCAGACAAGACGATGGTCGATTTGGCCAGTGTGCATGGAACTTCGAGTTTCTTGAGAGCAGAACGGGCAAACATAGTGGTAAACCTTCGTTCCAGGAACTTCAGCTGCGCTGGGCAGGGTTGGTGGCGTTGCAGCTGTGACCTGGGTGGGTGTTGGAGTGGCGGTCTTCTCGTTGCTGGGCGGCGTCTCCGTCTTGCGTTTCTTTTGTGTCCTTTCCGTTGTTTGTCCTTGTCTCGCCGTAATCTCGGCCCATGTCTCCGCCACCAGCCTCCGGCGACGCTCGAGCTCGGACCCGCTGGCCGTAGCATCGGCGGGGAGCGCCGGCAATCGATCGTGGACACGGTTCTGCGCGGCCTTGCCAGCCACGTGCTAAACTGGGAGGTTTCTTTACGCACGTAACAAGTGTGGCACTGCCACCAACCGCGTTGCTTGTGCGCACATCCGCGACAAACTCTTCGGTCCACATAGCGCGCTTTCCAGGCTGCCGCGCCAAAGGCAGCTTCCGCTTGCCGCACGCCGCATTTGGCGCACTCTTTGCGCACCTCGCATGTCAGGCACACGCGATAATACGTGCACTGTGGTCGATGGTACTTCTTCGGGAAATTTGCCTCTGCGCGCCAGACTTTACAATTATTACACTGCCACGGGGTGCCAGACGTGGCTTTGTCTTGGATGCATTCTCGACAGACACGTTCGTCATCGTTGCGTTTCCATTGGCCTCTGGTATAGGGGTCTTTTTCCCGAAAGCATTGCGAAGGGTTCTTCCGGAAAATCCTTTGAACACTGACACTTCGACACTTACACTTCGACACTCACACACACTGGAAGAGCGAAAGCATCCAAGTGCGAAGTATGCCAGCGTCAAAGTATGCAAGTGTATAAGTATGCAAGCATGATATGCAAGCGTGAGTATGCAAGCATGCAATGACTATGCAAGCGTGCAACAAGCATGCAATGAGTAGGCAAGTGTGAGTATGGAAAACTAGCACGGGAGATGTCCTAATGAACAAACATTTCCCCACATTATAAATTCTCTTTTCAAGGCGGAGGGCGGGACGAACAGCGTCAACCGAAAGTGCAACCCTCTGCGGAGATCGTGCGTGTCGAGTGCGCGAAATGCAGGCGAGAGTGCGATTTGCCGGGTGTGCGCGCAACCCTCTGCGGAGATCGTGCGTGTCGAGTGCGCGA